CGATGTGGTTTTGGACCCATAAATCGCGTGCCAATAGCAACACCCAAGGATAACGCAATATATTGAATACGCCATGAAAAACATATCAAATAAAATAGCATGCTGATTTTAACTAAATTTTGCTTTGAATAATTTATTTTTTACGAAAAATAATTGGTTTTGTTTTCATATGAACAAACAATTGAACCTTATATTGTTTACGGAAAAAGACACCCTTATAAGACATTAATATCTTTTGCAAAATAATACATGTAATTTGTAGGTTAATATTATATTATTATATAATTACTATGTATGTCCATGTTTTAAAAATATAAAATCTATTTTTTGTTTTCCATACAAACAATAGGATCATTTTAGACCCTCAAATGTGAGAATTTTTTTATTTCCGTGTTGTTTGTGAGTTGAAAACATTTCGACAAGTGTCATTATTTTTGAATTTAATAATTTAAAGTTGTTCAATTATATCATAAATTGACATGTTCAAACTTATTATTGACTTTTACCTCTGTATTTGGAGTTTTTTTTACCAAATGGTGGTGATTGGAAAAAGTATTTACCAAAATGATGTACTTTCTAAATTATTTACCAAAATATCGTAAATTCTTAGATACAGTACTTTTTTATATTGAAATTTAAATTAAATCAGTTGGGCCCGCCTACAGGTTTCTCGCTCACCTTGTCTGCCATGCTTCATTCGCCTTACCATTTCTTGCCCGTCGGAGCTAAATACCAGAAAAATACTTCGTTGTTTCACCAATGTCCTCCTTGTGTTAGCGATCCATTGTCGCCTTTAGCCATGAAAATTTACTACAGGTTTACACAAGCATTATCAGAGAGAGAACATAGGAGCTCCTGATTGCCAATAAAAAAGCACAAGATCGGAACTTTAGACCATGAGTCTTCAATGGCAACTTTGCTCCTCTTAACTCGCTATTTCAAAACTATGGATTTGTGCTCTCTGTTTTTGTTTTCCAGAGAACATTAGATCTATTTTGTGTGTTTCTTTGGAGGACGAAAGAGAAGGGGGAGAGGCCAGGGAACGAGAACAGTGAATTTTGACAGCGAGATGAAGAACGAGACGAGAAAGACGATGGTGTTGGTTGGAGAGGGGGGGGGGGGGTTGACGATTTTCGTAACCCTCAATGGATAATGAATTACCCCAGTGCAGACATGAAAATCCATTTACGTTTGTAACCATTGAACCAAAACAACCCTTGTATTTCTGATCAAATATATTTAATTTTATCATAAACCCACAATTTCCATGGTATTGCAATGGATCTCTGTGTATAAAATACAAGTCACATGTAAGCAATTACTGTTTCTTGATGAGCAAATTAAATATTAGAGCGAATCTATGTCAATGTTTTTACAGAGATTTAGTTATTGTTTCACTTTCATGCTAGAAAGTTTTGGCTCGTTTCAGATTCCGGCTAGAAAGTAATCGTAGGCTTCAGTTCCGACGAGTACTGCTGGCTGCAATTACCGGGGAGCAAACTTTAAATAAACTTTTTATTTTTATTTTTATTCTTGTAAAAGAGACGAGACTTGCATTCAAAACTGATTTTGCAATGTTTTGATAAATATTATCAAAACTACAATAATATGGTAAATATTTTTAAAAAATACCATACAGATACAGATGAACAAAACTCTTGTATTTGGTAACTTGGGGAAAGAACATTTAGGCAGCATGTCGTTATCCATGTATTCATTTAATTATTTGGACTCTCTACACTTGTCATTTCATGAAAGGCTACATTACAAGTTTATAATATCATATTTTTATTTCAATAACGTAATTGTATAAAGACGATTTATCGAATTCCTTGAGAATATAGATATGTGTTAACCATATCCAATTGAGAATACATATACAACATATTATGGGCCAATAATTAGAAAAGATTGTACATTAATTTTTAGTCTATTTTACGACTATGTAAAGCCCTTGTTATTTCAATTCATACGAAAAAAATCCATATATTAAATGTTTTTAATGTCACAAAAAACACAATGTATTATGTATATTCTAAAGAAAATGACTATAGTTATTTTTAAACTTTTTACCATAAAATAGCCAAAAACAAATAAAAAGTAACCCATATAGACATAATTTTCACCGATGACATCTGCTACATATCGGAGAATTTTTTTTTACCCAAAAAAATGTTATTTTATTTATTTATTATTATTATTATTGTTTTTTTGGGAGGGGGGGGGGGGGGAGGGTGTTGTTGAAAGTTATGTATTTATAGGTATATTTTATATATTATGATTACGAAAATCTAGTTTTTTTCTAACTTTGAACATCTATAAATTTTTTAATACGAACATCGTTTTGGGTAAACTTTTTTTTTTGTGTTCTACTTAGGGCGTGTACGGCATGGTGCGTTTGAGAGCTTCTAACTTTTAACGTTTGACAAAACGCTCCGTTTTGAACAGAAATCCTCGTTCGACACTACAAGCTTCTAGCGTTTAGTTTAAACAAAACGCTCCAAATCCAAATGGTACTTCATGTAGCGTCTAACAAAACGCTATAAGCTACACACCACCCGCTACCACCTAATTTTGCCAAACACACCCTTAGTAAGAGATATTCGTGGACATATCACACTCCAAATTTTAATTACAGGAAGACATATATTTTAGGTCCAAATTATGCTATACAGTGAAACATATGTAAAAACTCAACTTTGAGGAAGACATGCTTCTTAATTGCAAATCCAAACATAATTATTGTCGATAAAACATAAATGGAATATTATATTTTATGTTGTTCTTTTTATATTATTAAAATGTATGTAATGACTGTGATCCATGAATAAGTCACACAACTCCGTGTTTCCGTCGCCGACCGAGGGTGTGACATAATAACACATTCTCCCAAAAAAGATGTAATTAGATGAAGAAGATCGACCTAGATCTAACGCTTATAATCTACCCCTTGAGGAGCATATACTAATAAATAACACCTCCAACCTTGTTAAAATCCACACTGCCTCAACCACAACAAACCAATGAAAAACCACCATATGTGTATGATGAATACGATCTGGATCCCAAATAACAAAAATACCCTTACAGCACCCCGAGAAGGAGAAAACGTATAACACCCGATTTCTAGGTAGGAGTTTTAAGCTCAAATTTTGAAAATTATTAGTGGCCCCGATGTGGTGAAAGGGATCACCACGACGTGGTAATGCTTGATGAAACACATATTTCTTTAAGTGACCACGATGTGGGCATGTAATGGTCACAGCGTGGTGACGATTGTGTTTAAAACCCTAGATTTCGGGTCTTGGGCTCTATTTAAAGGATGTAAATGGCTAGGGTTTGTCTACCCTCATCCTTCATCACTCCTCTAAGTAAATAAGATAAAATCCTAGCCTCATTTCAAGCTTTTGAGCTCATTTTGGTGACTTTTTTACCTTTGAATGAAGAAGAAGAAGAAGAAGTTTTCTAGTGTAACGATTCATCAAGAAACTTATCTCCACCTTTTTGATAATCTTCTAGACCATTGTAAGTCTTCAAGACTTAATCTTTATGGTTCATTTCTTGTGGATCTAAGAAAGTTAGCATATTATGGTCCATTGTTGAAGTTGGAATGAATGGGTGTAATAAAAGTTGGGAACTTTATTACTCACCAAGGTCCCTAGAGTATTATATATACTGGATCTAAAAGTTGAGAGTGTTTTAAAAACCATGCATGAGATTTAGGTCATTTTCTTACCTTTTGACCTAGTTTGAGTGAAGGAAATGCATGGGTCATGCATGTCCATAAAGTTTGGATTTTTATGAACCTTTAGGGTCCCACGAAACCTTCTGGAAAGTTTGAGCAAAGGGCTTAATATAGATTTAGGGCTTAATCCATTAAGTTGTCCAAGTGAGGAAACCACGACGTGGCAAGATGCTTGCCACGATATGGTGAAGGAGGATTCCTCGTTGTGTTGTCATTTAGATACCATGACGTGGTCATTGGTTGGCCACGACATGGTGACTGTTGACCGCTGAAATTTGGTCAATTTGCTAGTTTTAGAAGGTAGACTAAGGTTTGACCTTGGGTGTTTCGTTAGGTGGGGTGTAGCACCAGTTTTACGACTGTACAAGTTATGGTTTGTTCGACTTCAAGTGTGAGGTGAGTCTTCTCACTATACTACGTAGGATGCTAGATTGTCTTTGTGACTCTTGCATATATGTCGTTCGGGTCCCGTTATGTATGTGTGTGGAGCTCATTATGTATGTTAGGCGAGGCCCGTTATATAAGTTAGGCGGGGCATGTTATGTATGTTAGGTTGGGCCCGTATGGTTATGTGGTATTTTGAGGAACTCATTATGCTTTGTGCTTACGGTTTCATGTTTAAATGTTTTAAGTACCTCTGGTTCCAAAGGGAAGGGTCCGACTTGATCGCACGACATCCCCTAGAGTTTTATTCCACACTATCGATTTTATGACTTTACTCTGATATTTTGAGAATACATTATACTCTGATTGTCTTTTGAACCAAAAAGAAAAAAAGAACAGTGAAGAGGTCATCACTTTCCATTTTTGTTCTTGAATCTTGAAAAAACTAAGCTTATATTTATTACATAAGGACCGAATCCAAACATGCTTATCTTTATTCCCCGCTCCTTGTATATTTATTGAAAGTGATGTGATGGATAAACCTGCCTCACCACTGTCCTTCAATTAATTCTGAAATATGCGAATAATAACTGTTCATATTATATCCTACCGCTTCTCCCATTTCCATTGTTTTTCTAGACTCTTCCTTTTGTACTTTTTAGAAAAAAACCCTCTAAAATAGACCTGTTTCCACCAAAATTAGACTGAAAATGATTAGAAAGGCTCGGGGGATGAGATAACGACTTCTCAAAATCAACAACAATTGGCATTCTATCGAATCCACCCGAAAAACCAATGACTAGTGGTTGCAAAGACATCGAGGAAGAAACAAAATTGGTATCTACACTAACATGCATTGTTACTGTAGTAGTCACGTCAGCAGGTGGCGGAGACACAACAACAGCTGGAAGAGTTGTTGTAGGCGTAGGGACTTCTGATGGAATAGTGGAAGATTTAGAAGTTGTTGTTTGGGGTTGTTGCTCCACTCTTTCAACATGAAAATTACTTCCAAACATCCCCTCTTCCTATTCTTATGACCCTTACCACTACCCCATCCACTAAAACCGATATTTCCTTTCGTCTTTGCCTCATCTTGTTTCATTTTTTGCACTGTATTATAAATACCAAAAGGTTCAGATGAATATTCATCCTTATCTTGCAATGAATGATAACTTCCATCGTCTTCACAATAACCATGAACATCACTTTCGTCATTCCCAACTTTAGAGAACCTAAAATTAAAAGAAGGCGTCCAATCGGGAACCTCTTTAACATGAACAGAAAACACCATATTATCAACCCAAAATTTTTTACCACTTCCGATATTATATCTTGATAAGTAGTTAAAATGCACACTCGGTGTAACATCCTATTTCCTGTCATTTCTTATTTCAGGTCCGTCGGCCGGAAGTCAATTGTGTAAAGGCTTTGGGCCTTAATGAGGTAATGTTTACACCTTTGGAAGGAGGCAATGATGGTTTTGGGATCTTAACCTTTGAATTGTGTTTTGGGCCGAAGGGTAGAAAAAAGGAAAGTCATAGGCCGGGGTCTTGCATGAAATATGGATTTTTGTTCGAGAAGTTTTTTGTCTAAGATACCTAGATAATATCGTGGGGCTCTTCAATACCTTTCTGTGGATATAAATATCGTTGAAAATGGAGTTGGAACGAAGAAGTTATGACTGTTAGAAGTTAGGAGGGTTTTGGGTTTAGCCTAGTACATTGGGCGTACTAGGAAAAGATGATTGCGGAGATTCAACCTGGCACGTTGGGCGTATGCGATCAGAACCCAACCCTAATTTTGAGGTTGTGAGCCCTATTTAAGCTCCTTAACTTCCCCCAAACCATTTCCATTCTCAACCTGCACCTCTCTAACATCCTCCCTTGAAACCCTAACCTTAGTTTGAGCCTTTTGAGCAAAAGAAGGTGTTTTTAAGTGCTTTGGAGTGTTGTTATGAGCTTTTGGTCACTTTAGTGCATAAAGTTTAGATCTTGAAAGTTTGTGACCTTGTTATGGATAAAGTTGGAAACTTTATCCATCTAATCATCATATGGATTTGGAGACTTGTACTTAATGGATTAAGTTGAGAAAGATGCACTTTTGGTCCCTTTGAGACTTAAAGAATAGATCTTGGTTGTTTGGACCATCCTATAGATAAAGTTGGAAACTTTATCCATTATTGAGCTATTAGGAACCATAAAAATATGATCTTCATCCTTTTATCCCTTTAATGCAAGAGTTGTGATATTTTAAAGGAATAACAAGTTAGGGTTTTAGCTTTTGGACCTTTTCTAGCCATGGAAAGTCATAAAGGTGGAAACTTTATGATTTAAGTCGATGTTCTGGGTCTAGATCTGAGCTCTAGACAAAAGGCCTTAATGGATAAAGTGCTTAATGAAGGAGTGAGAACAGGCCACATACGTTGGGCGTACGTTGAGTATGCTGGGCGTACTCACCAGCCTTGGACTTTGACTTTCGTTGACTTCCATTGACTGTGACTTCCGTTGACCGTTGACTTTTTGACCAAGTTTGACATTGGGTCAAACTTGAGGATTTTGGGCTATTGATTAATATTTTGTCTAGTTTGGGTGTTAGTGGATTTGCGGGTGCAAGTAGTGTAGAAAAAAGATCGTATCACAGTGTTTCAGAGTTCTTCAATTCATATGAGTTTCCCTCACTGTACATGTGGGTCGAAGACACCAATGTTGACCCACTAGGTTATGTCTCCTGGTATATAGGATGTTATTATTCTATGGTATGATAACCCGAAAACTTCAATCCAGTAAAGCCAAACAATCCAATCAAATGTCAGACTTGTTTCTACTATCTTTTAGCATTGTTAGGGGTCTGTTTGAGGGTTCTAAGCCTAGTACACTTAAGGATTGGGTGTAGGGTTGTGTCAGCTTAAGTTCATTGAGTTGAAATCGAGCCGGAAACTCCATCACAAGGAGTTTACGGCCGCAAACTAGGAGTTTACGGCCGTAAACTCTTGGTGGCCGTGAACTATCCTCATTATATGGGAATTTGCTTCATTTTCCTTCATTTCTTCAAGTCCTAGCCGCAAACTACCCTTTCTCTCTCAAGTATCATCAAGTGAAAACCCTCATTTCACTCCCAAAACGTAAACATCTCATCCTTTACTTGTTCATGCTTAACAACCCCTTTTGTTCTAGCCTTAAATTCATCACTACTACTTCAAGATCTTCAAATCTTCATCCTTTCACCAAGAACACCAAGAACACCTACTTGTTCTTGGTAGCCGTGAACTCCCAAGGGCTTCCAAATCTTAAGTATCCTTCCATAACCTTGTTATTCATTAGAAACTCTTGTATCCTCATAAGACCAACACCTTATAAGCAAGGATCAAGATGCATATTGCATCATTTTGGAGTGTTTACGGCCATACAATCTCCCTTGGCCGTAAACTCATCCTCCTATGGCCGTAAACTCCTATGGTCGTAAACACCTTGGTCGTGAACTCATCTAGGCCGTGAAGACACCTACCTTTGGCCGTAAACTCCCTTTAGTCAATCACATGTGATTGTAACACTTCATTCCAAGTGTTTCCTAGACCCTAAGATTGTTTCCTTGCATGTTAGTTGTTGTAAACACTAATTACATGCCTATATATGCCATTATATGTCATTTAGGACTCGTTTGTGTCTCGGGAATTCATTCTTGGAACTTCTCATCCTTACACGAATCTTCAATTGAATCACCCACATAAGGTGAGTTCATACCCCTATAATCAATCTTTTAAATGTTTTAAATGCTTTTAATGGGGGGGGGGGGGGGGAATACAAGTTGAACACAATGATAATTGTGTCAATGTTTATCTGTGATAACCATCACATTAAAGGATTTCTTATGCTTTTATAAATGATCAAATCATTTCAAAAACTCTTTTAAAGTTATGTTACTTTGTTGTTTATAAAACTCTGTTTTTAAAGTACAATCATAATGCAGTAGATAATCGAGTCTTTTCTACAAATCAAAGAAAGTTCAAAACAAACATACTAGTAAACTATAATAGGTATAGTTTATGGGTTCAGAACATACTACACACTAGAACAGAAGGAACATACTATACACTAGAACAGAAGGAACATACTACACTAATACAAGAACAAGATAACATTAATGTGAGCCACTACTTCATGGCACGACAATATATTGTTGTGTCACGTTTTATAACCAGAGTCTTCTGGAGGGAGAGCATGAGTTTGTGTATAGATCTATACGGGATTGACCATCCTACACGTTGCTGCTAGCTATAGTGGGACCTGTAGGTCTACGGGTGACGAATGTCATACCATTTCGACATCTTGAACGTCGTGTTTTACTAGTCAATCAAGTATGGTTATAACCTCATCACATTTTAACCTTAATTAACAAACTGGTTTTAAGGTAGTTAGTACTTCAGTAGTCACTATATACAACATTACTGAATACTTTCATTTTCCCATTACATTCATATAGTGATCTTCTCACATAAAAGGTAATGCAAACTATTTTCTAGTAAAGATAGTCTTAAACTTGGGAAAACTTACATCATTGCAAAAGACAAACAGAAAAGTCGAGTCTTAGTACATTCAATTAGAAAGGGGCCTATAATGCTAACTTTGTGATTCCTCGGTAGATACATCAGGGATATATATTAATCGGGTCCAGCAGACAGTAGGATGTGTGCTTTCCGCTTCATTTCCTGTTCCTTGTTTGGTTGTGTGCTTAGAGCAGATGCACCCAGTCTACTATCTATTTGATCTTAGCTATATATATATATATATATATATATATATAATATATATATATATATCCGTATACACCAAGTAATCATAAGGAGTACCAGGTATGGGTCAGGTCATAATATACAAATTCAATATACCGTTTTCTAGTACAAAAACATACTTTTCAGATAGAACAGTTAGTAGGCTAAACTAGAAACATATCAGTAAAGGGTTTAATTCATTTTATTAAACCAGTATAACTTAAAGGACCTTTAGTGGTTAATTCTATAATACCTTAGTTTATACATCAGGGTTATATATAATTAATATCTGATAGGTAGTTGGATGGGTGTTTTCCGCCTTACTTCCTGTTCCTTGTTTGGTTGTGGACTTAGGGCAGATTCACACAACTAACTATCTGTTCGATATTGGATTATATATAGCTAGTATAAACTAAGTGATTATAGAAGAGACTATTGTGGTTACCATTTTTACTAAAGGAAATATATGATTTTCTTAAAGAATGTTTTCATCAAATAAAGGAACTATTACAGTTAACTCCGTAAGTACCAAATGAATACACCAGGGTGATACACAATGAAGATCCAACAAACAATGGGATGTGTGCTTTCCGCCTCATTTCCTGTTCCTTGTTTGGTTGTGGGCTTAGGGCAGATTCACACAACTTATTGTTCTGTTTGATCTGGTTGTATATAACTTGTATCCATTTAGTACTCATAGAAGGAATTGTAGAGTCATTTTTACTTTCATTCATCATATCAAAAGATATAGGATCTTCTGGAGGAACAAGCAAACTTTTCTAAAAGAACTTACAACTTACTTTACATCACTAAAATACTTATGAACCCACCAGCTTAAATGCTGATCTACTCCTTCAAAATAACTTGTATTCTTAGGAGACTAGTAGACAGGTACGCGCACTGGGAATAAGAAGATGGAGCATAGTAGCTTCATGTCTTGTTTTGTTATTTACTTTTGGAGTCTAACTTTTGTGAAACACATACTTTGTAAACACTTTAATATTAATGAAATGGTTGTTTGTTACTTTGATTACTATGATGCATGTGTTGTGATACTAAAAATGACGTCCTCCGCCCCCGAACGTTTCCGCCGTTCCGGTTTGGGGGTGTGACATATGGTGATCTATTATATTTGTATCCTGGTATATAGGATGTTGTTGTGTTATAGTGATCTGCTAGATCTGTGTATATATATATCCTTATACGATAGGATGTTGTAGTAGTGGTATACTAGTATATGTTGGGGTTTTATTTCAAAATCAGTTTCATAAACAAGAGAATTTGGAAAACGGAAGACTTGAGATTTCAAAATAATATAAGCAAATTTATACCCACCAAGGATAATCTTGCAAGTTAAAGAAAGATTTAAACACCAACCAAAGAAAGGATGAAAAAATGACAACCTTTGTAGTTCTTTGGGTCCTCTTGGGCGGCTTGGAAGTTGATGAAGAATGTGGAACCTTTGAGACACCAACAATGACTCAACTTGATGTAAATTCTAGTCCATAAACTTTTAAGAACTC